GAAATATTATTATGTAATTGTAACTTTATTATTTTAAAAACTTCATTAAGTGTCATTTTAACAAATCAGTTAATTTTAACCTTCAATATTATAGTAATGTAGTACCAACTGACTCTCATGTATATTTTACAGCATTAGTTGGGGGGTTTTTTTCCAAAAGAAAATTTGGCATGTACTGTACCTGATATATATCAAAAATAATCGAATCGAATCGAATCGCAAGCTTGTGAATGAGAATCGAATCGAATCGTGAAATTTGTGTCAAAACCCAGCCCTACTATACAATGAAGGTGAATAGGAACTAAAGCTGTCAAGTTCTAAAAATGGCACAAATCACCATGAAAGTAGTCCAAATTACTATATTCCAATTCTTCTTAAACTTTAACTTTGTATGACAGACTATTTGGGTAGACTACTGTATGCCATTAATTTCCAGGCCATCTGTTATATTGCAAAAAGAGGTCAGCCCACAGACACAAGCGGTTGCAAGGAGAATCTGACAGTTCTGACAGTACAAGTTGTTTATTAAAATCGTATGTAGTAATCTGTGAATAAATACGGTGTTTAAGAGCCTTAAGAGCCTGTTGCTATTATAAACAGTCTAAAAAACTAGAACTGCTTAAGTACTAAATATAGTACCAACTCCATTCTTATAGGGATTTTTTTCATATTTATTTATAGTTTGTGTAGTTTATTTTATAGTTTTTCATTTTCAGTACACAGCAAATATAATATATACACAAGATTACAGTTTTGAAAGATGCAGGCATTGTTTCTGAATGTCTAAAGTCAGGATAACGTGTCAAATTAATAAACATTTGTAAACCTGGCTAGTCTATTCACAATGACAGCGGCCAAACTACAATATTAAACATATATGTAACAACTGCATGTAAACAATATGATTTACACATAATCCATCAGAAACACTCGCATAAACTGCAATTAAAAAAAAAACCGTCTCTACCTGCTCCTGACAGCGATTGGCTGCCGCCTGGTGTTTTTCACTTGACATTTGCATGAAGTTGAGCATTTCCAAACTTTTTGTCACAGCAACCTTAAATATATTTTCCCACATTTTTCACACTTTGATTAATTGAAACATACAGTGTGAATCAAATGAACTCATTCATTCTATTCAACAAATAAAATGATTATTAAGAGTGAGAAATAAATAAATAAACATTGCACGTGGATATTTCCATGAATAGCTCAAATGAGCGTTCTGCATTAGGTGAAAAGGCCATGTCCACTGGATGACTGGGTTTTACCCATAAAATTTCACAGGGCAATGGTAAATGTGACTGCAGCTTTACACTAATGGATTATAATGGTTTCTTTTGCTCCTGTAGGAAAGTTGTACTGCAAACTCCACTTTGCACAAAGGAAACCCTTAGTGAAGAATGGGAGGACACAAATTCTACACACGGTAAAAACTCATTTATGCTTCATCTGTTGATAGTTGTCTTACAGCACACCTTTATTAATATTCTTTTATTCAGATGTGTAATGCCGACTCTCACAACGGGTCCAGCTGGAGTCCAGAGGGACGTGAGCATCATCTCCAGGAAGAGTCTCCAGGTATCCTGTCCTCACTGAAGAGAAGCCTGCACTGGCCGCTGCATGTGTGTGCTGTGCCTCATCGTGTGTTTAACTGGCTGCATGGTAAAGCGTGGGCCACAGGAGTCCACCTGAGGGATAATGCCGAGGATTACGCCTTCCTGTATGAACTGCTCAGTGTGAGTCTGCCTCTGCTCGCTGTTCTCCATGAACAGCTCGTCCAAATGTACGCA